TTGAGTCCTTTGAAAACACATTTAGATAAGAGCACTTTCAACATGACACACAAATTCAGTGAACAAATTTTTCAAACAAAACTTGGTCTCACCAAATACATTTGTTAGAATTATGAAAAACCAACCTCTCCAAATCTATCCTGCTCCCAAGTTACTGAGTTTTACATTTAGCTTAGATATACTGGCTCTCTGTCACACTTTTGGGCTGCAAAAGGAAAACTGCAACTTTGCCTCCTGTCCTAATGTGATTATGGAAACATAGCTCTGTGCCTAATTACAGACTCAAAAACAGAGAAATTACAATTTCTAGTCTACAAAACCCACAGGTTTTGATGATTATGTTTTCATTGTTTTTGTCACTGTCGTAAATATTCAATGGAAAACTGTTGACATTTGTAGACTTCATGGAACGTAAATTGCATTTGTAGCTTACAGTAAAAACTACTTTTGCACTGAACCCGCTGCTTTCATTGAAAGAAAAAACATTTTTGGTTTGTGCAGGACTACTGCGTGTCTCCTGACTTCTCTGATGTCTGTGTTTGAATTTAGAGAAATAAGTAACAGTAGAGAAATAACTAACAGGCTCTGTGCAAGTGTTAGATAAGGTAATGTGCAGTGACTGCTTAGCTCCATGCCTGGCGTGGTAAGTGCTGCTAAGTGGTTCCCTGCTTACACAGTGCTTCTCAAAACACCCACCCAGCGGCTTTATCAAACGCAGATGCCTGGGCCCTGCTCAGACATGCTGATTCTATAGTTCTGGGGTGAGATCCAAGGAGTCCCATTTCTAATAAACTAGCTAAGATGGGAGCCGCCTGTCCATAGACCACACCTTAGCCCTGATTTTTAATCACCCAGATTTTCTTATTTTTGTGTTACAAAATATCTTATATGTGGTGTTTTAGATGCTGTGCAAGTAATTTACAGAGGAATTTATAATACAAAACAGACTGAACAAAATCAGTTACTCTAAAATGGAATAAATCTTTAGCAAGAGAAACCCTCCGTATACAAGGACGTGTTTGGAGCTAACGCAGGACTTCATAATATGCATGTTGAAACTTAAGAAAAAAACATTCCCTTTTAGATATTCTAAGCCTCTCTAGAAATACCAATGCATTTCTTTTTTAATATTTTATTTATTATTTTTATTTTTATACTCATATATGTATGAGTGTATTGCCTGCACGTATGCAAGTGCACACGTGCCATGCAGTGCCCACAGAGGTGAGAACAGTGCATTGGATCACCTGGAACTCAATTTCGGATGACTGTTAGCCTTCATGTGGGTGCTGGGGATCTCACCTGAAACTTTTGCAAGAGCAATCAGTGCTCTTAACTGCTGAGCCATCTCTCCGGCCCCCTAATACATTTCTTAAATAAAACGATTTAAGTAAGGAACAGAAGGTACCAAGTAATGTGTTTTAAATATCCACCATCAGAAGCAAACACCTTGTTATGATTGCTCTCAGTGAGAGCTTAGAGCAGTCAAAAGCTGTACCTTGGATGGTTGAGGAGGTACTTAAAAAAGTAAAAGAGAGAGAACCTTCCAAGAATATAGGTCTGATGTTGTAATTCTGTAGTGATAAATACTGTATGAATGGCACAGGGTGATTCTGAAATTAAGGCCATTTGCAATTTTAGAAATAATTCTATGTCAGTACTTATAAAATGCCTGTTATTAGCTGTCATGCCATCTTGGAAGCGTATGATAGCCTTGATACATTGGCTAGACTCTAAGTGAAAGGCGTAAGAAAGCTCCCAGTAATTATGAGTTATTTCCTGATGTACTACACATAATGGCAGGCTCTCTAACAGGCTTCATCCAAAGTAATTTATTTGAAAACCATTCATAAGGGAAGGACTGCGGCAACATTTTAATAAGTGGGTATGTAATTTGTACCAGGGCCTCTATCATTTCATCGAGCCCACAATTATAAAGTCAATTTTGACAGAACTGACTTCCACTGCATCAGAAGTGGATCCCGACATGCAGTTAATCTACTCAGGGCTTTGTGCACACTGTCTCTGGTTTGTGGCTATATGGCTCACTCTGATGATGTCATGTCGGCTCTCTCAGCGGTGGACATAGCACAGGTGTTCAAATGGGGCATTAGACTCTTCAGTTGATGAAGGGAAACACCCGTTTAGAATCTTTACTACATGTGCTTTGTTTCACAGCACCTGATTTGTTTTATGGACCAATACATTCCTTTCAACACAAGGTAATTTGCATGCTACATTACCTTTTCCTGTATGCAAAACAATGCAGTTTTTAATTACACTACTAAAATAGAAAAATTATTAAAATATTGAATAAGAATCAATTTTGAATCACAGGACCCCTTCCAGTATTGCTCCTTATGAGTGACAAGTGAGACTAGATACATACTCCTAGTTAGTTGACATGACCACAGTCCTTGTCTGTTTCTTTACCCATCAACTCTCAGCAAAATATTCTTGCATTTGGCTGCATTACCGTTCTTCACGGCTCTTAGATTCACTTGAAAGTATGGACATTCCAACTCTGTGTAAAGTGAAGAGGCCAAAAAGCCGCTTAACTGTATAGGTATAGACAAAAGTAAATTTGTAGGGTTTTGAGACAGTTGTTTGAATCTCTAGTTAGCATCCGGGCCATACTTAATTTTTTATTCTAAACGTGATCTGAAAGTGCTTGGTAGAAAGGGATTGATTTCACAGGTGGACAAAACATCCCAGGCGAGGGAAGCAGGGCTGTTCATCTATCCATCCAGAAACTGACCCCGAAGTAATTAAAACTTGGCTGCCCTTATGGAAACAAGGCTGCCGCTCACGTGACAGCTGCCTTAAGACGTTTGCAGGTTTTGATGTGAGGCCATGAGCTAAATGTCCTGTCTAAACTGTTTGAGAACTGCTTTCCAGTTCAGTACTCTTGGAGAGGTGTTCTCTGGCAAGTTCCTGCTTCATTGCTTTCAAATGGCACAGTGGGCTCAACAAATCAGAGTTCAAGTTGGAGCTGTGGAATGTAAGGAAGGAAGTGGTTCTAACCTGATTTTCTTTCTCCCAATATATTCCCTTTGATAGCATCTGAGACAGCTCCCATTCCCTGTCTCCTGGTTGGTGTCTCTCCCTTACACTCATCCCACATAGATGTTAGAGGACTATGTGGAGATGAGTCAGTCACATGGGGAAGTCTAGTTTTAAGCCATAAACTTACAAAATGAGCCCTGTTGCGCAGTAGATTATAGAATCTCCTTAACATATATCATTCATAATCTGTTGAGGCTCAGTCACAGTGAGAAACATTCTTGTGAAGAAGACACTAGTTTCATTTACTTGATTCCTTTTGGACTGTCACCCAGCTCTGTTCAAAGAGTTAACCTTTATAGATATGATGCTCTAAAATGGAAGGAGAGGGCTTCACATGCAGATTAGGATTGAAAAATTACTGCCTACCATTAATTCCAACAGGAAAAATAACAAAGCACTTCTGCATATTCCAAAGAACTGAACTGAGCTGTCCTCAAGTAAAGGACCCCATTCACCTTTATTTTTCGGACTTTCTGGAATTGTTGACCATGAGAAATATGGACAAAACTGCTTAATACTTTTCATTTTTCTTTCTTGCAAGGGCCTAGGAACATACAGGTGATGATTTTTCTATTTATTACCTTTCTCTAGGAAATACTGCTACCTCAGCCATTTATCTAGACATGATCCAAACATGTGCACTGAACACTTCAGTTTCAGAATTCAGCTACTATTTGAGAGGGCATTCCAAACACATTAACAAATATTTTTCCAAATCATATTTTTAACGTTAATCTTTAAGGAGATGAAAATAATTCTTTTTGGTTTTTTTAGAAATACACATTTTCTCGCAAGAGGAAGATCCTCATAAACAGTCACATAGCCACCAATCTACTTTGCAAACATAAAATAAGCAGAGAAAATTGACTGTGTTCTGTGACCACTGAATGAATGGCAGTAGCTGAACCTATGTCGTGAGACTGTGCTAGAGCCATCCCCCCCTTTTGTCTGTCTTCTCTCAGTATATTATTATCTTGTGATGATGATAGATAGAGATAGGAAGATAAGGAGATAGATTGATGATAGATAGATAGATAGATAGATAGATGTTGATATTGCTATTTATATTGTCTTTTTGAGACAGAGTCTCCCATTTAGCCACAGCTGGTCTGGAACTCACTATGTAGACTAGGCCGGCCTCAATCTCTCAGAGATCCACCTGCCTCTGCCTCCTGAGTGCTGGGAGTAAAGGAGTGTACCACTATGCCCAGCTCTTGTTACATTTTTAATAAAGTAATAGATGCACATAATTTTCAGGTGCTAAAAGAAAAATCTGAACCATGCTCCACTTTTCCATTTTCAGCATCTATTCCATCTTAACGAAAAATGCCTTCTATGTCTTTTGGATATTTACTTGGTAGTGTTGTATGGAAGATAAAAATAACACCTCTTTATTCTCAGTAAGGATTGTATTTATTTTAGTTCTCTGCATATTTTGTGTCTTCCATAGTCCATCATAGGGAACATCGCTATAATTATTTTAAGCAGAAAGTATTTCATATGAGGAATTAAGAACTTATAAAACTTGGAAGCACTGGAAAAAGCAGGATCTCAGCTGGGATTACAGACATAACTCTTTGAATTAGATCAAATTAGTGTGCAGACTCTTGACCTTTATGAGACTAACCCTAAGTTTTGACAACCTGTCCAGCTGTGACTGCATACCATTCCTTCCAAGGTCTGTCACTTGCAAAAGTTCTCCCAGACTTTCCCTAGTCCCTGGCAACTACCAATCTCTTTTCTTACACTTTGTCTTTTCTAGAATGTGAATGGCTCCAGTCACTCGGCACACAGTCTTGTGTCTGGTATCATTCATTTAGAATGGTGTTTTGGAACTTCATTCCTGTGGTATATATTAGGAGTTCATTTTTTACTATTGGACAGTATTTCATTCTTTGGACATGCCATACCTTGTTTGCCTATCTGCCCGTTTATGGGGACTTTTGAGAGGACTCGGCAGTTCAGAGCACTTCCTCTGCAATCATGAGGGCTGAAGTTTGAATCCCAGCACCCATGTATCAAGCCAGGTGTTCCCTCAAATGCCTGTAACCCCAGCTCCAAAAGGGACAGAGACAAGAGGATAGTTTGGCTTCCAGGCTAGCTGAGAAAAAGAAATGCAAGCCCAAGACTCAGGAGGGGACCTGCCTCCAAAGGAATAGGTAGAAAATAAAGGGGAGGACACTTGACAGCCTCTTCTGGCCTCCACATGTGTTCACAGGCATACACACATGCACAAAGAAAGAGATATATGCATAAATTAATTATTAATTAATATTCGAATAAATAAGTCTACCAGTTGGTGGTCACTGGAATTGTTTATGGTTTTTTAAAGACTTATTTTTAACTTATTTACATATGTGTGTGCCTGCATGCATTGATGTGCACCACATGTGTGCAGGTACATCTAGAAGCCAGAAGTGGGCATCAAATTTCCTGTAACTGGACTTACAGGCAGTTGTGAGTAACCTGATGTGGGTGCTGGGAACCAAATCTGGGTTCTCTACAAGAGCAATAAGTGCTCTTAACCACTGAACCATCTCTCTAACCACTGTTTAGTTTTTGACAATTGCGAGCATTCATGTGGACTTCTTTCTGTGGATATATTTTTTTCATTTTACTTGGATCAATATCTAGAACAGAAATTGTTGAGTTTTGTGTTGACTGTTTACTTAATGTTATCAGAACTCTAAAGCTGTTTTGCAGAGTTTCTGTACTGTTTTTGCACTCTCATCACTAATATGAGAGATTCCTAATATAAGAGACTCCAGTTGCTCTGCACCACAGCACTTTACTGTCAGTCTTGTGGGTAGAGTCTTAGCCTAGTTTCCCTGCTATCTAAATGGCTAGCCCTTCCAGATCTGCTATTGCATGGCAGCCCCGGGCCTGCTTACTTGTTATGTAACAGTGATGTTATGTAAGGATCTGATCATCTGTGATGTCCAGGATAAAGACAAGTTCAGTATATAGGCACACAAAGGGTCACACTCTTGATTGTATCCTCACCAGAGTTTGAATGACACACGCATACGTACACACACATTCTTATGATTTTTCAGGCTGTTTGATCATTCCATGGAAGGGTTCAAAAATTGGGAGTTCATGACCATCCATTGCTGGGGAGAACGAGCTGCTGGTGACTGGATCCTTGAAGTTTATGATACTCCTTCTCAGCTGAGGAATTTCAAGACTCCAGGTAAGAACTCCCTTCTGATTAACCAGTTTGTTTTTTAGAAGAAAATGGTAGACCGTATTTCTGCCAATTGATGCTTCATGTTTGTCCCAGATTATTTTGTTTTACTATAACAAAATAAGCAGAGACTGTTAACTTTATTAAAAAGAAAAGACTTATTTAGCTCATAGTTCTGAAAGCTAATATAGCAACCCACTCTCTCAAGTACTAGTTCATTCCTGCAAGAACCACTCACTCTGAGACTGTCACCAACATATTCCTGGGGCTGGAGCACCCTGGCCTAACCACCTTCAACTGGAGCCCACCTCCTAAAGGTTCCACTTCCTTAACTGCATTGTACTTGACCAAGCCTCTAGCACATAAACCTCAAGGGACATGTCACATACACCTTATGACAGCAGTCCTGTATCAGCATCATTGGTTTGTGTGTGATTCATTTCATAAACATTTTAAATTATCCACATGTACTCCAAATTTCAAGGTAACAGCAGAAAAGGAAATAATTTGAGAATATGAAATAAAAAATGAATACTTAGGTAAAAAATAAACAATAAATATTTAGGTGTAAATAAAAGACAGATTCTGGCAGCTTCACAGCTAACCAGCTTTCTGTACCTTGTAAACAAGCCAACCTTGTTCGCCTGCGATGGATTAAACTGAATCATAATCATATTTCTTCACAGGAAGAGCTAGGTTTCCTTAGTTACTTTGTCACTCAGTTTAATTTTCAGTTCAAGCAAGACACTGCATTTAGGCTAAACCTTCTACTAGACTAATCTGGCTACTACCAAAGGAAAATAAAATCCATCTTAATACAGAGTGTGGAAATTAGAGTATTAACGGGTCCTTTCGGGTCCTCTGAGGCTCTTAGCTGCACCAGGTCAGTATGTGAGGGTTGTTTGTGATCATGAGGGGAAGAATGCAGCAGCAGAGTGGGAGACTGCATTTGCTAGTGTGCGCACAGCTTCCCGCCGTAGATGGTCTACAGCTGTCAGTAATGCCCTCCTCAGTACTCTGTCCATTTGCAGAAAGCCCAGACCTAAGGTACACTTCAGGACTTACATCCAGCTCTAGCCATGTACTAAGAATAAATCACACAGACATTCTGTAATTATTTTTCAGAAAAGGTTTTTGCATCAAGCAGAAGAGGTGCTGGGAAGAATGTGGGGATAATGTTCAGGCTTCCCAGCATTTTGCCTGTGTATCAAGGAAAGCTACTCGTTCTGGGAGATCCATTTTTGGCCATTATGTTTTAGTTACA